AAAAAAAAAAAAAAAAAAAAAAAAAAAAAAAAAAAGAGTGCAGAGGTCACATTATCATTCATGTATAAAAATACAAAACACCATCACAGAGTAGGTCACCTAAGGGTGACTTACTCCCGTGACAGAAAAGCATTGTTTCAATTTTACACTGTGCTCCAAAAACACACGGCAATCATAAAAAATGATAAATGGAGTTGCCAGTTTAAAAAAAAATAAAAAATCAAGACTTGTAGTTGTACAAACAACAAGATACCCCTGCAACAAAGCTTACCTAAGCGAAATGTGACCTTTTCATTGTGTCAATACTCTGTTAGATTGCATATCTAATTTTGTTGGACTGCATGTATGTGCACGCTTGTTACAAGTTTATTCTTGTTTGTTCTTTAAGAATTACTATGAACTAGATCTACTCATACTATAAACATGATAACTCAAATATTAAAGCTACTCCATTTCCACAAAGATGTTTTTAGTCATTCAGTGTGATTAGAATAGTATATAAACAATGTACTGTACAGAACGTCCTGTAAGTCTATACTACTGCAAAGCCAAGAGAATTATGTCTTGTGAAGAGTCAAAATAAGTGTAAAATACCCAGGCGGTTTTGATTACAGGAAAAAATATTTACCACAAGTGGTGTAAAAGGGGGAGGGATCTTCTTCTGCTCAAGGTCATCCCAGTTCATGGAAGAGAAGAAGCTGTGTCTTCTGATCTCAATCTGAAAGTCAAGAGTAAATAAACCTCAACATGATTTTTCAGCTAACAGAGCGTGAAGAGAAGAATGACACTCATTTTTAATTAGTGATAGAGACAGTGACACGCATATACATTAAAGGTATGGGCCACTAGAGGGAGCTCAAAAGTTACAAATTCTGTAGTGAAAATCGATTTAATAAATGACACATACAAAGTCTTCCCTGTATCCCAGTCTGCGCTTGCCATCTTTCTCCAGCAGCCCGTCGAGGAGAGACCAGGCTGTGTTGGAGGCACCGGGACGCCTGGTTAGCGGCTTGTGGAGGATGTTGTCATACATCTCGTGTGTGTCCCTGCTGTAGAAAGGTGGCTAGGATATGGGGGGGGGGAAGAAAAGTAGAGGTTTATAAGTGAGTAGGAAAATGTGGCAACTCATTGAAATGTTTCAACATCTATCACTAAAGCAGATTTACAAATCAGAGTTATTTTTGGAAATGTCAAAGTAAAAACTCACTAGACCAAAGAGCATTTCATACAGCACTGAGCCCAGACACCACCAGTCTACTGTGCGATCATACGGCAGCTTCTTCAAGACCTCTGGAGCTAAGTACTGCTCATTTAAAAAGAAGAAGAAGAAAAAACCCCACATAATAATATGACATTAACTCTCACATTTTCCTTCTAGCTTAAAACACAGTTATCAATGCTACAGTTCTTTTGCATATGAAAGTGTATTTTATTCTCCAGTAGTTTAACAAATTACAACACACACACACAGCGGAAAATTATTAACTTCACTTTTGTAACAAGGTTTTCAATGATTGTCATGTTAAACAAAAGGCTTTCTTGGAACACAAACCTCAGGTGTTCCACAAAATGTAGTGGTAGTGTCCTTCTGGGAAATGCCTTCCTTGCACAATCCAAAGTCTGTGAGTACGATATGCCCCTAGAAAAGGGAGGACATAGGGATGTTTTTAGATAACATGTGCTACACAAGCAGCTCATTATCCCCCGGGACTGAGGATACTATTGTTTACTAGGAATGTTGGCTGCAGCAGTCAGTCACATTCACCGTTTCCTAACTTTCTCAATGAGGCTAGGCAGGAAAATCATTAATAAGACCTAATCCAATCACACGCTTTCTGTCCAGCTGGAACTGGAAATGACAGCAGGAGAATGAAATGTGTCCTGTACGTGTTTTATGTAATAACTCCTCCACCAGTTATAACCCTAACATGATATCCAAAAGTGGCATTGAGATATATTTTGGGATTCGTTGAATACTTACCTCGTGGTCAAGAAGGATATTTTCTGGCTTTAAGTCTCTGAAAAAATAATTTCAAACACAGTTGCATTTAAACGCCCATATGTTTGAAGTAAATGTAATTTCAATTTAATTTCATAAGCTCTACACTTGAAGAAAGTCTTGTAAAAAAAAACAAAAAACAACTAAGTATATCTCATCCTATAACAGCTTAAAGAAACACATTTAGCTTTATTAGCTTGAAGTAATCAGCCTCTCACACTGCATCTTCTTTACCGCATTGCTTCAGTTCAGTGAGCTTTGCAGGCATTCATTTATGCACAGCTTTTTTATGACCCCACCATAGTATTTCAATCATGAGATGTCTGAGACGTAGCTCTTCTGGGTTTTTCTCCTCATAGTTTCTCTGCACGGTCTATTTGCTAGTAGTAGTAGTATTAGTTTTTCACATGACTTCACAGAATCACTTGAACTTTCTTTTTCACATGACTGTATCTTGGCTTTACATATTTGGCTTGACTGACACTTTAACAGCAGCATACCTGTAAACAATCGTGAGAGAATGCAGGTATCCCAGCGCACTTGCCATTTCAGCAATGTAGAACTTTGCTCTGGGCTCCGGAAAGGTCCTTTCTCTTTGAAGATGAAAGAAAAGCTGAAAAGAAGAAGGTTATGGAGAACTTATAAATACTGATATTTCATTTTTGGCATGTTGTGCTCATCTGGTTCAGAGTAAGATTTGGCTTTAATGGCATGCTGATTGTCACGCAGCGCAGCTAAAAAAGCCGATCACACTTGAAGCAGTAACATGCAAAAGCCGTCCTTACTCTAAGTAATGCTATAATCGCTAATAAAAATATCACACATGGAGGTGTGTTAACAGTAAAGGGGGATTTTTTTTAAAGTTTCTTTATTGCTTCATTTCTCAGCTGTTCATGACAGTGTGACTCAATTCTGTGTGATTTTATTACAAATAAAAGTGAAACAACTCACTTCTCCTCCATTGATGAAATCCAACACGAAGTACAACTTGTCTTTAGTCTGGAAGGAATAATGAAGCCCAACCAGGAAAGGATGTTTCACGTTCTTCAGCAAAACGTTGCGTTCTGCCATGATGTGTTTTTGCTGATTGGCACAACAATATATGTGAACCATTATCATACACATATCCAAGCCAAAATACAGATAAACTCAGTGGTGATCAAAGTTTTACCTCTTTCCTGTTGAGAATGATCTTTTTTTGTAAGATCTTGATGGCATAAAACTTTCCATCGTGTTTTCGTTTAGCGAGGAAAACCTGCATCAGGAGAGAAACAGAGCACGTTGAGAATTTCATCAACACTGAAAACCAAAATAATTCCTTATCCAATTCTCACTTCCTACATGGAAAGGGCAACACATGCAGAACTAAAACCTGTTGCTTCCTCAACAGTAATGACATTAAAACTTGTCACTGTCTAACATCTGGGATGAAGATAAAGTGAACATATTTTCCAGTATTGCACCAATTACATACCTTCCCAAAACTCCCTTTTCCTATGACTTTTAAAAAGTCAAAGTCTGTGGGCTTGGCTCTGAAAGATAAAATATTTTTAAATTTACAGGCATTTCAGATAGAAATAATTGATAAAAACATCAAGGCCTTGTCAGCTATGTTCTAGTAAACATACTGTGGATTTGCAGAGGGTCCCAGGTTGATGTTTCTGGAGGTAGAGTTGTTCTGTTGTAGAGCAGAAAAACATCATTTAGATAAGCCAGTGAGACCCACAGCTGCCATATTAACATAACAGCCCAAAATAACTGTCTGAAATATTTATATAGATATATTTATGCATGTATAAAAAGGGTTATCAGACAAGATGCTGTCATCAGGACAGGCAAACCATCATCCAAAACTGCTACATACCTTTTCATCTTCATCCTCAGAGGCATCTGATATTTGTTCCCTTTTTTCCATTAGTAAAAATGCCCTCACATCTGGACTGTGAAGTTTAACACAGGACAAGCAGGTAAATAAAAACATTCTAACAGCAGCAGGTGACAGCCAACATAGTACAACTTTTAATTTAAATAAGCACAAAGCACGGCTAAAAAAATCTGAACAACTCATCCTAATAAAGTTAGCATCAGACATCAATATATAATATAGTGTTGTATAATAACAGTAGGAGCTGCTACACTTACTGGTTGCAAAGCTGAGGATGTGAGACGAGTTTTTTGATGAACTCATGTAACCCGGCTCTTCTTTGCTTGATGAACTCTATTTAAAACAAACCTACAATCAATCACTTGCACGCAACAAAGATCAAGCAGGGCCTATTTAGTTAAATGCAAACACCTACCCGGGTCAAAGTTGTCCCCAAATATCCTTTTAGCTGGAATTTTCAAGTTCATAGATGGAAACTGTTTCCTTAACTGTGTTAAAAGCGCAACAGAGAAAATTATTTTAGAAGGGAGAAGATTATTCTGACATATTTGTAATTATTCTGAATGATTCTTAATATCATAAAACACAACATCTGCCCCCCAAATTAGATTTGATGGAAGATCAAGATGTTCCACTGCTTACTGTGTTAAAGAGTTTATCAAACTCTGCATATCGCCTGAAGACAAACCATTCCTGTTGTCCAACATTGACAATCACTTTGTAAACCTGAAAAAAACACAACCATAATTCATGTAAACATTAAGAAAAGTAGCAAGTCCTAATTTAAATGACCATTTCTGGGATTACATTTCCTGCAGAAAAAATATGAATGAACCAATGTACGCACTGTGTAGCGCTTTTTTTTGTCCCTCTGCTCATTGTGGCAAGGGATGCTGACATTGGGAAAACTGGGTTGGTCCTCCATCTTAGGGCCGGTCAGCATTCAAAGGTGCAGTAATGTGTCCCCCAGGAAAAGACTTCAAGTATACGACTGGCCAATCCTCATTCTGGGTCTCTACTGCAAAAGAGGAAAGAGAAGAGCTTACTCTGTTATACAGGAAGTGAAACTGGTCTTGCTCTGCTCACTACACATATCAGCTTGCAGGGCTTACATCACTGCACACTTCAGAGGTGGCAGCCTTTGCTCATTAATCAGATTATATCGGCACAGTATTTGTTGTAACTGCTTTGCACTTTATAAGCACTGAGTTCTCGAAATGGTATCATCCCATGTGTTAGAAACGCTCAGTTTTATTTTGCCAAGAATCAAACATTCATATCATTAAGATATGTTAAATACACAACAGAACAAAATATGTAACACCAGTCTAGTTATTTTTAAACTAGGTTATGTACACCGTATGTTAAAACGTTGAAGAGTGTAAGTATTTTTCTTCTTTTTTGTCACTCTGTTACATTACAGGTAATCATTTTTAAAAAGACGTTATTCAAATGTAGTCTTGGCTGAAAGTCTGTCTACAAGTCCTTCGGCTTTCTTAACTCTTTCACCCATAAAAATGACTATATCATATATCATATATCATCTGACTATTAAGAAATAAAGTTTCTGGATTTTTCCAAGGGTAGCTGCCTAGGCAGAGACCACCTTCACTTGCCTCTGATGCACACCCAGTCATTTTGTTCTTTAAGCAGGCTTAAAATATGACAGAAACCATTAGTTTCATAAAAGAGCTTCAAGGGTTACTCCTGCTAGGCTTTTGAGGGGTAAAGAGTTAAAAAGGGAAGATTGTGGTGAGAGTACAGGGACAACAGATGGGTCAGTGAGCTGCAACATGGCAGCAGGTGGGCTCCCTCCTCCTGGGCAACCAGTTAACTCACTCCTTACTGTGAGCATATCCTATCCTCCCTCAGTTTTAATAACATAACACTTAAACATATCAATACAGCACATACTAGATATTATTTTGCTGTTAATCGTGCCATCTTCTTCCAGATAACTCTATCCATGCAATCTCTTCCATGTCTCCCCTAACAACTGAGCACATACAGTGGGGCAAAAAAGTATTTAGTCAGCCACCGATTGTGCAAGTTCCCCCACCTAAAATGATGACAGAGGTCAGTAATTTGCACCAGAGGTACACTTCAACTGTGAGAGACAGAATGTGAAAAAAAAAAATCCATGAATCCACATGGTAGGATTTGTAAAGAATTTATTCGTAAATCAGGGTGGAAAATAAGTATTTGGTCACCTCAAACAAGGAAAATCTCTGGCTCTCACAGACCTGTAACGTCTTCTGTAAGAAGCTTTTCTGTCCCCCACTCGTTACCTGTATGAATGGCACCTGTTTGAACTCATCATCTGTATAAAAGACACCTGTCCACAGCCTCAAACAGTCAGACTCCAAACTCTGCCATGGCCAAGACCAAAGAGCTTTCGAAGGACACCAGGAAAAGTATTGTAGACCTGCACCAGACTGGGAAGAGTGAATCTACAACAGGCAAGCAGCTTGGTGTGAAAAAATCAACTGTGGGAGCAATCATCAGAAAATGGAAGACATACAAGACCACTGATAATCTCCCTCGATCTGGGGCTCCACGCAAGATCTCATCCCGTGGGGTCAAAATGATCATGAGAACGGTGAGCAAAGATCCCAGAACCACACGGGGGGACCTGGTGAATGACCTGCAGAGAGCTGGGACCAAAGTAACAAAGGTCACCATCAGTAACACACTACAACGGCAGGGAATCAAATCCCGCAGTGCCAGACGTGTTCCGCTGCTGAAGCCAGTGCATGTCCAGGCCCGTCTGAAGTTTGCCAGAGAGCACATGGATGATACAGCAGAGGATTGGGAGAATGTCATGTTGTCAGATGAAACCAAAGTAGAACTTTTTGGTATAAACTCAACTCGTCGTGTTTGGAGGAAGAAGAATACTGAGTTGCATCCCAAGAACACCATACCTACTGTGAAGCATGGGGGTGGAAACATCATGCTATGGGGCTGTTTTTCTGCCAAGGGGACAGGACGACTGATCCGTGTTAAGGACAGAATGAATGGGGCCATGTATCGTGAGATTTTGAGCCAAAACCTCCTTCCATCAGTGAGAACTTTGAAGATGAAACGAGGCTGGGTCTTCCAACATGACAATGATCCAAAACACACCGCCCGGGCAACAAAGGAGTGGCTCCGTAAGAAGCATTTGAAAGTCCTGGAGTGGCCTAGCCAGTCTCCAGACCTCAACCCCATAGAAAATCTGTGGCGGGAGTTGAAAGTCCGTGTTGCTCGGCGACAGCCCCAAAACATCACTGCTCTCGAGAAGATCTGCATGGAGGAATGGGCCAAAATACCAGCTACTGTGTGTGCAAACCTGGTAAAGACCTATAGTAAACATTTGACCTCTGTTATTGCCAACAAAGGTTATGTTACAAAGTATTGAGTTGTATTTTTGTTATTGACCAAATACTTATTTTCCACCCTGATTTATGAATAAATTCTTTACAAATCCTACCATGTGGATTCATGGATTTTTTTTTCACATTCTGTCTCTCACAGTTGAAGTGTACCTCTGGTGCAAATTACTGACCTCTGTCATCATTTTAGGTGGGGGAACTTGCACAATCGGTGGCTGACTAAATACTTTTTTGCCCCACTGTACAAGCCCACAGTGATTCACACACTAGCTCTCAAACATGCTGAGTCTGTGACATTCGTCCTTGTTTGGCTCAGTAGAAAAATGTATAATTTTTTTTAAACCTTGCAGGGGTTTTTGAAGCCAGAGTTACACAGCAAGCAAAACATTAGAAGGAAATAAATAAAGCAAATTGCTGGGATCCAATAAATTCCTTCCCCTGACTGTTGAATTAACAAAAGGTCAGGCTTTCAGTTGATTTAAGGTGAAGGGGGACAAAGTTAATACTGATAAGTCTTAATGAGTAAATTCTAATAAACTGTAACAGAAGTGTCTTCTGTCTCCAGCTTAACTGGGGACCTGAAACAATCATGTGTACTGTAAATACTCAACACTGTGTAATCTAACTGAACACACAGAGAGCGGCATATCCTTCTCTGTCCGTTATGTAACGTCTGTTGTTTTAGAACAAAGCTCTTTGTCTGCTGCTCTGACTTGACCATTGTCTGAGGTTTGTGAGGTCAGCCTAGTTTTGTTTAGTAGTTTTATCTTTCCAAGCCCTGCTGCTTTCTCAAAACACACAGAAAACCTGCTCTGTGACAGCTTTCTCCTGCCGCCTACGGATCCTGAGTGTATCCTGAGTGGGCATCTCATTCTGCTCACGTTGGGGTGAGGAAACGGTAAAAGAGCGGCCCTCTTTAAAATGCATGAGTGCAGTCAGAGGGACCTTCATGCCCTCTTCATCACTAGGCGTTCTTTCTGTTCTGTCACGACACTGTAAAACTTTCTTTTTAGTTTCACTTTTACTCACATTTATAAGAACACAAAGAGCCAGTATTACCAGTACTAACTTTTCCCTCTAATACAACTGCTTGTCCACATATGCAAAGCATTTGTTTTTTGTTTAAAAATAGAGCTGTAACTAGGAAATATTTTCATTTTGCTGAGACTGTTCAGTCTATCAAAACCCATCAGCCTCAGCCCAAGGTGACCTTTTAATGTGTAATTCTCGTGACACCCGCCACCTAAGATTTAAAAAAAATAAAAACAGGTAAAAGCAGGAAAACATATTTTCTGGCGATAAATTAGGATATGTATTGATCTAATTGACTGAATCTTATTACAGAATCAGTGTACACCAATTCTGTAATGGAAAAAAAAAAGGTTGCGTCATTGTGGCTGGCACACACTAAAATGCCTGTGCACATCGCCGAGCTGCCTCACATCTGTGCGTGTTTTTCATGCTTAAATGGCTTGTGAAGCTCACAGGGTAGGACCCGCTTTTTAACATTCCAGAATTTTTTTTGTTGATGGGGGGAAACAACATATAACTGTGCAGTGAAACCTACATTTGGAGCCTGACACAGGCTGCTACTCCTAAGTATGGAATGCTGCAGCTCACCACACCCACCAGCACGCACTGTCAAGTTAAATAATAAGAAGTGAAAACAAAGAGTGGGAATCACAATGCGAATAAGAAGGAATGAGACTATTGTTAAACATGTGTCCTCGCCACAGTTTATGCCCACATCACAACATGAATTAACTTGTGATGACAGACCCAAAATATTACAGCCTACTACATGGGATAAAAAAAAAAAACTTCTCAATGATCAGTTCAAACATAGGGATATCTGTGGTTATGTACAGTAAAGCAGAAGCAACACTAGAAGACCACGAAAGCTCAGTCAGGCAAGCAGCTGCTGATCAACAAAAAAAAAAAGGCAAAGTTTTGAGGGGACGAAAGATAATTTCTAACCTTTACTCAGACCAGTCTGCGTTGCCACAACAGTGGCAAATCTCTGATAGAGGAAGTGCAGCTTGAGTAGTGCGGGGAGCACAAACATAGTGCATCAGCACATGACCAAATTCTTACCCTAACCTGACAGTCGAGACAGCCGCAGTGTCTACTGACTTCCTTTTCGAAGCAAACCTGAATCAGTGTGTGCACTGACAAGAAATGACCGGTTCATCAGCTGCAGAAAATAAGAACTCAAAGAGAGCACGCTCAGCAGCCTTAAGGAGCTTGCTCTGTTATGACAGATGTTGAGCTGGCTCTTTTGTAATGTGAGTATTTGTCCCATAAAACCACACATTAACATCAGGGAAGGAAATGTGAACTTGACCTCCAGTCAAAGCAAATGGACAGATGAGATGAGAGTCCACATGTGAGTTTAAATATACTCTTTGGATAATAAGAGGAAACGGAATGATGAAGAGGGATCACCAAGGGAAGCAACCTTCCTGTCAGTGTAAATTTGAGTGCGTGTTAATATCACACAAGCTTTGATAAACATTCAAGGTGAACATTCATTGTGACAGCTTCTGAAGTCTGAAAGCTACGTAGAGCTATGTGGATGACAGTTCCCTTGAAGACAGCATTGAAAAAGGCCTCGTTTACTATTTCTGTTTCATTCTGCCAAAAGTATCGGCAAAAGCTTACAAAGAGTACAGGTGTACTTACACCGGTACTACTTTTAAATCTGTGCACATGTTACGTGTATCGAGGGGAAAATAATTTCTTAATAATACATTTTCGAGCCGAGGACGTGAGAGAAAAGAAAAAAGAGACAGGGGAGGGAGGAGCTCAACACACACACGCAAATAAACCCCCGGCAGACACTAAACGATAAGCTTCATACACTCTAACAAGACCGCAAATGTAACACAAACTATAAACAATACAGTATTAAGCTATAAGGACATGGTGAGTACTAAACAGTAGATGAGGAAACACAAACACAAGTTAGTAACTTTAAGTGTCTCTCGGCTAAACTTTCTTTAGTGACATATTTGAGCAACAAACGGTTAATGTTATAACTAGCATTATATTACTTAACATTACACTGGCACCAGTTCTCCCCATTTGAAGTAAATATTACAGCTACAGCTAGCCAACACGTCGTTAGGAGTTACGTGAACATCACGTACCTTTCAGGATTTTGACGCGGTGTTCCTTTATTTTCGCAGTTCCAGCGGGGATTTTTCGCTCTACGGCAGTTAAGCTGCTAAGGTAGCAAACATTTGTCCAGGTCGGGCAGGGACGAAAGTCCCTAAACCCTCCAAATGAAAGTGTGCTTTCTCTCACTGCTCACAGCCGTCCGACAAGTGAGCGCAGCAGGAAACATCAGTGTTTCCTGGCCGCACAAAGTTCCAATGAAATTTGTCACGGGACCTCACACGGACAGACGCGACCGCCGTGAAGTACACACTAGACACCACTTTACTTCCGGTGCTGCTTTTCAGAATATAAGGGAAATAAAACTTCCTGAATTGATGTCTTTTGCTTAGCCGCTGTGCTAAAAACAAACACATTTTAAGCACTTTGTTTTACTTTAATGTTCCCGTCCACCGTATCCTCACGCCAATCATAGTTCTAATTAAACATATTAAACACATCTTACTGTAGCCTCTGAGATAAAAAGCTGTGCTTTCTGCTGGAGCCCAACCCATATAATACTTTTGAGTCATTCTATAATTGGGCAGTTTAGGTTTCAAAAGTGGCGAATAAGTGATAATGCATTTATTTTCTAATCTATGCATTTAAGAAAAACAAGTAATAAACCATAAAAAACAAACAACACCCCTTAAATTTGTCCTTCTCAGGCATCAAAGGTTCACTTTTTATGAGATATTTTAGTTAGTTAACTAATTAATATTTAGACTTAGACTTAATCTTAGCAACTTTTGAACCTTACCACATCTAACTTTTCAATAGTCCCACTTTTTTGGTTTATTTTCAAAAATTTTCTCAAATAAACTCATCTAATAATTTAAACCAGTGCAAAGATAATAGATTCAGAGCTAGGAAAAACATTTACGGTTATATTATTAACATGACATGGTAACAGGGTTAAAATTTGAGTAACCATTTACACAAGACATAATGACTTATTACATATAGAACTTGTGCTTGTACATAGCTATATATATTTCAGACAACAGAAATGTTGTTTATGTTATTTATGTTTACATATATGTTTTTAGCATGTGTTTGTAAGAGGTGCGAGCTGTAGAATATGATACATGTGATGATGGAAAGTCAAGGATACATGCAGTCATATAAATAAGGAATCTTTTCAATTAATTTGCCGTCCTTTGGAAATGTGTGTAACAGGGTTGGACTGGTGAGAGTGCAACTCAATCTAGTCAGAAAAGATTAGAAAAAATACAAAGCACATCAAAGAGGACTGACTTCTGGGAGCTGAAATGTTGCATTATTCGTCTTTGTCATTTTCACTGTTTTGTTGATTCCCTTTCCAATCTAAATAAAGGCATGCGTCAACAAAATCCGAACAATAAGTATGCATTTAGAACTCATTTTAACTGTTATATTTGACATGCAATTTGGTTATCAAGAATCTGTGATATGTTTGGATTCTTGAGAGATATTTTGTATTTCAAATGCTTTGGAACATCTTTTATAAAATCTATATTTTGTCCCTGAACAGTGGTTTACACAATTTACACAACAATTTACACTGGCCTTCACAGACACAGTCACCTTTAACTAAATTAGCAAATTTGCCAACATTTCTTTAGTTTTATGAGTTTGTTTACTCTGGCGATTAAAAAGGCATTTAAAAATAATTTTGGCCAGCTATCCTATAACTCTGTATGCATGTAATTACACAAATGTCCTTGGTTAAAATTTCAAAACTTGTGTTTTAATAAAATCACGACGTTTTGATTACGCAATAAACATTTTTGGGCTCTTATTTTCCTGGGATAACAAAAACTTCCGGTCATGTTTGCTTGGCACAGCTAGATTTACTCTGATTCTGACGAAATCCAACAGTTCAACAGCGCCACCTACAGGAAAGAAGGCAACAGAAACCCAACAATCATAACAGTATTCAGACAGTTGAAGGCCAGCAACTATGAAGTATCCACGATGAATTATTTCAATTATGAATCATTTAATAATAATGCAATTATTAATATTTTGTTAGTTCATATTATTGAATATAGTGCTTCATAAATGTGGTAATATCCTTTTTAACAAAAAAGTGTGATTTAAACTTTCAGTGCTTTTGTGTCTGACCTTTTGTGGTCAACACCTAAACACACTGTAGTCCAGGTCAGACCTGACAGAGCTGATACAAGAGAAAGGCCCCAGTAGTGCTCTCCACAACAAATCTGAAGAGCTAAACCAACATTAAATGTAAATATTTAAAAAAGAAAAGTTTGACATCTACATTTTGACTGAATATTTACATATATTTAATAGCTAAAGTGAGAAGTAAATAGTTTTTACTTTTTTAAAAAGTTTTTTTTGTTGTTGCTGAAATCGGCTGTCCTTTAAGTCATCTTGATAGTAACCAAAACTGTATCTGTATGAGTGTGAATAGTTTTCAGTTTGTGGCCCTATGCCACAAATTGACAAAAGTAACGCAAAATTAAAAGAAATAATAAAAAGAAATAAAATCAATAATATTATAATACTTCAATGATTGTAATGTGTGTGCTTGACAACATTTATGTGATGTACACAAATACTCTATACAAATCCCACAAGAAAGGCAAAAAAATCGTTCCCTTTTTGAGCATGGTCGGGTTGTTGAACTGCATAAGCAGGGTCTCTTGAAGCGCGGAATCACTGCTGAGGATTACAGACCAACAAAAGTCAAGTGGAAGACCCCCCAAAATTTTACCAGCACTGAGCCAGAGGATCCAAATGGCTATCCGTCAAGACACTGGACGATCCTCGACCCAAATTAAGGCCGTTACTGGTGCTGACTGCAGCCCCATAACCATCAGACAGCATCTTCAAAGGCCTCGTCGCCTTGAACACCACAGAACTGACCGTTTGGACTTTGCAAGAGTGCACCAAACATGGAACACTGAAAGGTGGAAGAACGTTTTATACCCTGATGAGAAAAAATGTAACCTTGATGGTCCTGATGGTTTCCAACATTACTGGCATGACAAGCAGATGCCACCCGAGAGTTTTTCTACGTGCCACAGTGGAGGGGCACCATATGGGTTTGGGGTACTTTTTCCTTCAGTGGAACAATGGAGCTTCAGGAGGTGCAGGGGCGTCAAATGGCCACTGGCTATGTCCAGATGTTGCAGAAAGCATCCCTCATGACTTAGGGCCCTCGTCTGTGTGGTAAAGACTGGGTTTTTAAACAGGACAACGCTACAGTGCACAATGACTGCAGGACAAGGGACTTCTTCCAGGACAATCTTTCACTCTTCACTCTTTGGAGCATTCCGCATCTTCCCCTGATCTTAATCCAACTGAGAACCTTTGGGGATGGATGGCAAGGGAAGTTCACAAAAATGGACAACAGTTCCTAAGAGTAGATGCCCTTCATGCATCTATCTTCACCACTTGGAGAAACGTTCCCAATGTTCCATTTGCCTAAACAAACGTGTGATGGATCTTCAGAAGGCCTGGTAGTGAAGTGGAGTAAAGTTTGTCGGGCTCTGCTCTGGTATAAGTATGTCACTGTGGACACGGTTGCTACAGAGACACCAGACTCTGTAAAGCACAGGCTGTGACAGGAGGATGGATGCAAGAAGATGTACAGCAACTGTTTCTGTCTATAATGTAATGGTGAAATTTTGTGGATGAAAAAACACATTTTATATCATTCGTTATTAAATGATAAAGAATTTCCTATGATGTTGTCCTGGCTGATAATTAATAAACATTAAACAGCTAGCATCTGCAACTCTAATTCAGCGATTCAGCATTTCAAATTAAGTTCAAAAACTTAACTAATCCTGATTAGAAAGCCAGATGATGTATTGTACAAAAAGTTGTGCAGAATCTTTTGCAACATAAGTTTAGAAAACCTAACATCTACAAATCAGGAAACCAGTTTTGTTTTTCCTCCTCTGTATTATGTTTATGCTGTTTGCATAACAGAACATGTGCACACATATAAAATAGTAACAAATTATTTCAGCTGGTTTAATTTTGTTTCTTCAATACTAAAAGTTCATGTAACACATAACGGTCTCAGACTGACTTGTCTGTGTGCACAAAGGTCACTCACAAAGCATCAGTGGGTGTTTTGACTTCCTGTCATTTCATCACTGATCTTTAGCACCTTGGTAAAGATCAGTGGAAGAACAGCAGCAGGCTGGTCCACGCCTCTCTGTGGTTTTCTGAGGTCAGGGCCCGAAAACACACGGAACAGAACAAGCCTGGAAATCAAATATGAAGTCAAACATAGAAACATGTTTCTGAATCCTGTGTTGTTTTGTAATGTACCGTAGCAAGGCAACATCTGCTTCCCTGTCTGACTTGTCACACGAAAAATTGCTGCAGTGAGGATGATGAAGATTGCTCTTGCTCAGCGACTGCTAATTAAAGCCCCTGACTGAGACTTTAAGAACATAATTGGACATTTTCCTCCACAGTATAAGCTTGAGGAAAACTGAAGCCACCTCTGACCTGCTGTTTAATGTTAAATTCATTTCATCCTTTGTCCTTTGCGTCTCACATGCTTATTCATCATGCTTATCATTGGAAGTCCACTTTTGTAATTGAAATCTTCAGAAAATCCAGATATTGCAACAAGTACAGTACAACAACTATACATGTAATAAAACAAATGCTGATTATAAAGCAAGTGCATGTTTGCGACAAAAATCGGTAATAACAGTATTCATGGGTAATCTGGTTTGCAGTAAATACCACTAGCCACTAGGTGGCGACAAAGGAACCCTTTGGACAGTTACGTTTTAACTGAAAATCTCCCGAGGCAGCATCTCTGTGTTGCTAAATATAAATAATTGATAAATATGTTTAAAAAGTATGTTTTAAACTCTTCTCTTTCTTTGTAGCTGAAAACCATATTTTTTGTACTGCAACAGTAAAAATCAGAATAAGCCTAGTAAAGAGAAACATTACAGCGAGAACACCATATTTTCAGAGCTGATATGAAAGATTGGTACAGCCAAATAATGATTCTTCACCCTCAGTAAATACGAAGCAATAATTCTGAATAAGATGCAGCTAAAATATTTAAAATCAAAGTGTTATTTATTCAAATAAATCATATTTAACAGCGGCCTCCCATGGACGAACATGATAGAGCCTGCCTGAAACTTGGAGAAAAATTGAAACGGGAG